TATATACATAGAATTAGGAAATTAATAACTTGGGTTAGAACAAGATTATAAGGTACAAACAATATCGTCACGATATTTCAATTTGTAATTAATTAATCGAATTTATTGTAAAGTACATGAAAAATATATATGTATATATATTTATAGATTTATATTTTAAATAATCATTTATTTTCGATGATATTAGTTTGATATTCCAATGATATTGCATTCATGGAATGAAAAAAAAATCTAGAAGAGTTTGAAGAAGAGAATTGAATAATTGAAAGAAGAAAATATCTTCATTTAAAGGACAACAGTATAAGAATCAATATTTATTGCACAAAATCATTTATTTATTGTACAAAATCATGATATCATCTAAATTAATATTTAATTATTTGATTTCAAATTTATTCCGATGCTTCATCCAATTAAGACTTTCAAAAACAATTGAAGAATTAATTAAGAAGAAGATATAAACACTGTTGCATTAACAACTGTGTCTTTAACAATTAAAAAAAAAAAAAAAAAAAATATTCAGAGATCACATTGATCATTTTGACATTCAAATGAATTTCACAAAATTTTCTTAGAATCATTCGTGTTATATTATTACAGTATCATTCGATTAGTTCTTGATTCTTTCATTTCATCTTGCTACGATTACGAGAATTGAAACATTCCACCTTTAGTTTCAACAAAAAAAAACTTTGTTGAGTCTTTTCTTAAATCTATCATTTTTTTTTTGTAATTATTTGTTATATTTTTATTTGTTATATTCTCAACATTGATTTCAAGGAAAGATTGTTGAGAACGGTATCTTTGAGAAGAAACGATTGGAGAACTCGGACAGATACGTATCCCACATTTCTATTAATTTTGGTAACATTGTTCGATATACCAAGGGCCAATATTCGTTGATGAAGACCAAAGCAGCACGATCTGAAAGCAGAAATTGTTCATTTTAAGATTGTTTCCAAAGATTATACGAAAGGATATTAAACACTGTTGAAGAAAAAAATTACTTGATAAATCACTCTTAACGATTAATTGCCATTGTCAAACAACAAGTAATAAAAATGTATTGGAACATACGATTGAATTGTAATTATTATCGTAAGTTGAATAAATCATTCTACTCTGTCTCGTAAATTTCGCGCAGAAAGTTCATTGATTACAAAACAAGGATCTCGTTATTTTCAGAAAAGATAAAAGTAAAGAAAAAAAATTTCAAATTCGATTATACTCTTGTTTATTGGACATATATATATATATATACTCTAAATTCAGAATTATTTAGAAATTAAACTGAAATGAAAAATTGAGAAATGTGAGATTTTTTGATTTAAATAGAGCAAGAAATATTATTTTCACGTTCAACTTCAATTTCAAAATATATCGTTATCAATCGATACACAATATAGAGAAAAAAAAGTTAAATAATTTTTGGAATGGAAAAAAAAATCAAAGCCTATATATAATTAAAATATTCTCAAACGATAATGCAACGGAGGAAAAGAAAAAAAATAAAAAGAAGGAAATTATTACATCCGCAAAATCAAAAAATTTACATTCTTCAAACTCGACGATCACGTAACATCGCGACGATACGACAGAAGGAGGATCGTACAACATAACCAAAGATAAAGTTAGAAGAATAAGCGGCAAATAACAGCGTATAACGATTGCATGCATGCTAATTAAACGACAGGATTCTCTCGAAAAATACGAGTCTCTCTCTCTCCCTATGCGCTTCAACAGTAACATTATGCAATGATGTCGAGACAACTAGTCTTTCTATCTAACTAATGAAAGTTTCTACATCGATTTGAAGCGTCTGACTTAAGGTAAACAATTATCCCTCGTACTTCTCTATTATGTCACGTATTATATACATTTCTTTCTTTTTTTTTATTTATATTTTTTTTTTTTTTATAGTAATCGTGTCATCGAAATTTCCATGATTATTATTGCGTGACGTGTAAGTGCATCGACTCGGTTCATTAATCATGGAGAGATTATTACACTTACTCAGTTCTTCGTTTCCGTTGAAGAGATCGCTGAACCAGATCTTCATGCTGCTGATCGTTGGCGCGGTTTTGAAATGTTCCACGACCCATCTGTCGTTGACTACGTGGCCTGAAATGTCCCAAGTGGTTCTGATGTTCTCCATGCTGACGTTGAAGAATCCTGTTGAATCGAAACGTTGTAAGTATTGAATATTATTCGCATAATAATTTAAAAAATTTAACAATCTTATTATTAGGGATGAAAATATTAAGTTTTCTTAAGTTTTCTATCTTCAATTTTGCTTCTTTTCTTTATTGTTATGAAATAATAATAATAATAATAATAATTTTGTGTTTGACAATTAATTAAAAATTTTATTAATTTATTCATTTGTTTCTCATACATACCTTTTCCACCCATTTTGAAAGTAGCCAGCGATCCCTCGGCTTTGTAGTCGCCATCGATCAGAAGTTTTGGTATCTCGACGTCAATTTCCAATCGGAAGAAATCACCATCCATTTCCGGTTTCACGGATAAGAAACGTGATTTGGCAAGACCGTACAATCGAACATCCGCGACTGATATTTTTCCACGAAGTTGTCCACTTTCGTGTTCCATCGAGTATGATTCCACGTAATAGGGATCAAGAGAAGGTATACCGAATTCTGGTAATCCTATTATGGAAATCGTGCAAATATTTAATAAAAATTACAATTTTTACAAAATTTCATATTTTAAATCTAGAAACGAAATTTGCTTACTTCTGTTTTGAAAATAAAAATATTCGTTTATTGCAGAATGTTAATTACGAAATGAAATATCGAAAATGAAGGTATGCACTGTTGACATAACTAAATACTCCTGAAAAATATTTGCCAAAGTGAATGGAACATGTTTACCATTTAAAATAGTCACGAAGGAAAAAAAAAAAAAAAAAAA